CTCCTCCTCCTCCTCCTCCTCCTCCTCCTCCTCCCCCTCCCCCTCCCCCTCCCCCTCCCGTCGCAGGCCTACAGTCGGGGCGCTGAAGAAGGAACCCTTTTCGTTGGGGAGGGGCTCGGTGTTCTTTGATTGTTCTACAGCTTGCCTCAGGTTGTCCTCAGGTTTTCGATGGGACATCGGAGCTTCACTCGTGGAAGAAAAGGGGCCTCGCTCCTTATTTTAGGGCTCCTTTTAGGTCAACGCCCCGACTGTACACGTCGCTGCTTCTTCCAAGGGCATCTCTCCGCCCCACCGGCGGCCTGCACGACCGTGCTGCAGCCGCGCGCGGCGGCGAGCGAGGGGAGTCGGCGCGTGGCCAGCGCGTCTTGTCAAGAAGCGGCGCATAGAAAACAAACAAAACAAAAAAGTCATGGGGCCGTGGCTCCACCCCGGGGAGCCTTCCGGGAGCCTTCCGGGGCCTTCCGCTGCCCGCCATGTGGGGCGCGGGGGAGCGGGGCCGAGCCCTCCTCACTGTGAGGCCGGCGGTCGCCGCCCCGCCCGCGCCTCCTCGCCCGCGTCATGACGTCGACGGGGCGTATAAGAGTGACCTCTCGCCGGAGGGGCCTCTGGTGCGGGCCCGTTGGGGTCCCCCGATCGCCGAGCGCGACGCGATAGTAGAGTCTTGCGCGCTTGGGTCTGCCCCCCCCCCGCGGCCCCCCAAGAAGCCGCGCACCACAGGTCACTCTTGCCCAGGGTCGCTCTGGCGTGTGGCCGATCCCACGGCTGCCGGGGGGAAGGGCGCTGTCGGAGAGCAGCGCTGCGGGGTCTCCATCTCCTGGCTGCTTGCGCCTCTCTCTCTCTCTCTCTCTCTCTCTCTCTCTCTTTCTCCCCCCCAACGAGTGGGTCTTTTTTGGAGCTCCAGATCCGCCAGGACACGCGTTCGCTGACAGAGAAGAGGCCAGCGCAATGGGAAGGGAGGGGTGGGAGGGGTAGGATGCCAGGCTGGTTAGATGCTCGTTTTGAGGATCTTCCTGGGGCCCACCAAGCGGATCTGTTCGACTCTGGGCTGGCCCCAGTTCGACTCAAGTTCGACTCAAGTTCGACTCAGATTCGACTTAGGTTCGACTCAGGTTCGACTCACGGTCGGCTCAAATCGACGGACGTTCGACGCAGCTTCGACGCACGAGTGGAGCGAGTGTCTCCAGGAAGGTCCCCAGAACCAGCATCCAAGGAGGGGGGAGGGAGGACCGCTAGTCCCCCCCCCCTCTCTCCCTCCCGTAGGACCTGAGCTGGTGGTGTGGCCGTTCTTGCTTTCCCAGGGGCGACGGTGTGGCCCCGCGGCTCTTGGCACCTGTGGCGGTGGTTGCGAGACACTCGGATGAAGTCGGGCATGCCCCTTGACAGGAGGAGAAGTCGAGAGTAATACCAAATAGTCTGGGGACGATTTGTCGTGCGCTTTTGATTCTGTTTGGCTTTTTTTTTGGTACTATTTCGACATTTCTCTTCCAGATCCCGCCTGTAGCTGGACATGCCCGGGCTAACAATCGGGTTCGTGGCCTGCTCGCTCATACCTGCAAGCGGTGGGGCAGCGCTTGCTTGCCCGACTGGGTCCATGGTGCATCGAGCACACTTCGACGCTCGAGTGTGACATGGCCTGCCTGGGTTCCGCTGTCCTACTCGAGTGGACGCTGATGCAGCAGCCTCGCGTTCGCTTCTTTGGGACTCTTCTAGTTTCGGGGGAAGCGTAAGACTCGAGTGCGCTGGAACTCGGGATCTGCCTACGCTTTCTGACGAGCCCGCCCTGGATTTTGACGGTCCAGCTGATCGGGATGTCTGCAGCGGGAGCTCGCGTCAGATTTCGGAGTGGGTCTCGTCATTTCCTTGACGGCCCCGTCGGGCCAACCTGAGTCTCCGGAGCCCGAGTCTTGCGTCTCCCCGATAGTTGCTACACAGGTTTACCCTGTGGTTCGTCTGGGCGCCGCTCTACGCAGAGGTGGTCCCGACCACGACCCTGTGGCTCCGAGAGTCCCGCGGGCATGCCGGCTCGAGAAGCGCAGTGAGCATCATTGACTATCACTAATCTCGTGATCGCTCCACCTCCCCGCGCTCCTACAGTTGCCATGGAGCGGGCGATGGTGGAACGGCACCTGCGGGAGTGGGCAGCGAACGTCCGCGATCCTAACGAAATGACCCTCTACCTCCAGCGTTTGCCGACCGGCCTCTCGAAGGCGAAGCTCCAGAGCATCTTCGACTTGGAGGGGTTTGGCGACGCGTATGACTACCTGCACATGCCAATGTGCTTCCACACTAAGAGAGGCAAGGGATATGCATTCATATCCAGTTGCCTCTGGCAATCCTACCACCGTGCCAGCGCAGCATTCTGGGTGGCAACTATTCGAGAAGGCACGGAAGGCCGTCACGTGTGATTCCTCGGTCTCTCGGAGGCCTCGGGAGTCTTTATGTGTCTCTTGGGAGCCTCTTGGGGCCTCTTCGCAGCGTCTGGGGTCCTTCGGAGGCTCTTGGCGGCTCCTTGGGCCGTCTGAGGCGGTAGTGGGCTGAATGGGCAATGTCGGAGACCGTCTTGGGGTACTCTCTGGGTTGTCGTGGGACCCTCTTGGGCCTCGAGGGCCGTATGAGGGCCCCCTTGGGCCGACCTGGGGTCGACCGCTCTCGCGCCATCGGCGAACTCGCTTGGGCCATCTTGGGGCCCTTATGAGGCCCTCGTTGGCCGTCTTGAGGCCACCTTAGAGGCTTACTGGGCCGGCTTGAGCCTATGGAAGCCCGAACAGGTGACAATGCGAACATCTGTCAGACGCCTACGCAAGGCCAATGATTCAGGCCTCGTCGTGCCCTGCTGGACGTTCTCTTCAAGCACTCTTGTCGGGCCGGACGAAAGGGGGGGATTGGGAAAGGGGGGGTTACGAAATTTGCTGCATGCAGCTGGATTCGGCCTCACCGAGGGGCCCATTCGTCGATACATAAGCCGCCTCCGGCGCCGGGAGGCGCCGGGAAAATCAGCTACGTGAGCTGATTCTCAACCCCCCCCTTTGCTATCCCCCCCTTTCGCCCGACCCGATCTTGGGCCATCTCGGGAGCCCCATTGGGCAGTCCTAAAGCCATCTTGGGCAGTCTGCGGTCTTGGGCGTCTCCTGGGCCATCATCGGTGGCCCTCGAGGCTCTCCCTGTGCCGTCCGGGAAACCATCCTGGGTATCTTAGAGTCAGGAAGGTTCGGGGGTGGACAGACCTCCTACCCTGACACGTCGATTAAGGAATTGGCCGTTTTCGGTTCGCGAGAGGGCGTCGCGGTCGTCATTTTTGCGGGTCCAGGTCCGTCTGTTTCGGTCCCAGGCCGTTTTCACTAAGGGGAGGTCTACTAAAGGGAGGTTTGTCCACCGCCGAAAGGTGAAACACAGACACATGTCATCGCCGATTCCCAGGAACATGTGGAAAACTATGGAGGGTGGGTGGGGGGGGAGAGACGAAAGCCCAAAAACTGTGGGAAACTAGGGGGAATCCTAGGATCTGTGTGTATTGTGAGGGCCTTGCGGCCAGAGCCGCCGACCCAGAAGGACGATGACGACGACGACGACGACGAAGACCACGACTACAACGACAACGACGAGCTGATGACCCTGCCACAGGCTCGGGACATGGGGCGGGCGGTGGAGGGAGGAGGAGAGGAGGCAGAGGCAGAGGAGGAGGAGGAGAAGGAGGAGGAGGAGGAGGACGAGGAGGAGGAGAGGAAGGGGAAGGGGGAGGGGGAGGTGGAGAGGGACAAGCTAGGTGCGCTCGTGTCATTTCTGAAGTCCTACCCCTCCTTTCCATCCCTTACCATGGCGCAGGTCTCCTCTCTATTCGCACAATCGGATGTCGTAGCATGGCATAGCTTTACATGGCATAGCATGGTGTTGAAGATCGACTTGTAGCATGACATAGCATGGCGTGGCGACACCCCAAAGTGGGGAGGGCTTCTGCGGCCCAAAATCAACGAATCGGCACCGAATGTGTAATCACTTCCAGTGTTTTTTTCGGAAGGCCATTTTCTAGATTGTGGGGCCTGTTTGGAAGGACCACAAACCATGCCGTGCATGGCGCTGGAAGTAATGACGCCAGCGCTGCAGCGGGAGCACGATTCGGGACGAGCGGAAGCGCGGAAATGAAGCCTGTGCTGCAGCGAGGGCACGATTCGGAACGAGCGGAAGCGCGGAAATGAGGCCAGCGCTGCAGTGGGAGCACGATTCGGAACGAGCAGAAGCTTGAAAATAAGGCCAGCGCTTCGGCGAGAGCAGCATTTTGACACAAGAAGAAACAAGCGAAAACCCATTTCCAGGGAATCTGGTGTGACAGAAAACGGTACGCGGAGGGGGGCCGGACATTGGACGTCATCAGGGGAGAGAGGAGAGTAGTATTCATATGGTGTATTTGTAGAGGAAGTGAGGAGAAAGAGGAGGAGGAGGAGGAGGAGGAGGAGGAGGAGGAGGAGGAGAAGAGGAGCAAGAGGAGCAAGAGGAGCAAGAGGAGCAAGAGGAGCAAGAGGAGCAAGAGGAGGGAGAGAAAGAGGAGGCAGAGAAGGAGGTGGAGGAGGAGAGGCCAGGAGGAGAAGAGCCGTCTGCCTCTTCGGGGGCGGGCCGGGGCTTGGGTCGGGTCTGGTGCCAGAGCTGGGCTCTGGGCCAGGGCCGAGGCCTGGGCCAGGGCCGAGGCCTGCGGCCTGGGCTGGGGCCCGGCCCAGGGTCGGGGCTGCCAGGACCGAAGTTGGGGCCGGGAGCCTGCCTGCGCCCTCATCCCCTTCTTTCTCCTCCTCCTCCTCCTCCTCCTCCTGCCCTCCCTCCTCCTCCTTCTCCTCCTCCTCCTCCTCCTCCTCCACCTCATCCTCGTCCTCACCCCCTCCTCCTTCCTCTCCTCCTTCCTCCTCCTCCTCATCCCTCTCCTCCACCTCCTTTCCTCCCCTCCTATCCTCCTCCTTTTCCTCCTCCTCTCAGCCCTCCTCCCCTCCTCTCCTCCTCCTTTCCTCCTCCTTCTCCTCCTCCTCCTCCTCCTCTCCTCTCCCTCTCCTCCTCCCCCCTCCTCCCTCTCTCCTCCCCTCCTCCTCCTCTTCCTCCTCTTCCTCCTCCTCCTCCTGGGAGGCCTTTCGAATACATCCGGACCGAGGTATAAGCTCGAGGTCGGTTACTGGAGGGCGCCCTGAGGCTCTTCGTGTTCGTTGGATGCTCTTGTGCATCCTGGGACAGGGTACACCTGGATGTTCGGTTTGTTCTGGCCGACGCGGAGGTCTCGTGTTCTTGAAGGATGTTGTTTTGGATTAGGTCCGATTGTACCACGGAGACCGAGCCAGGCACAGCATCTGGCATTCTGTCTCCCGCGCCTCGACGTGCCAGTGAGCACGGAGGCGGAAATTTCACCAACGAGGACATGGCCCAGCTGTTCAGCCTCCGGATGGACGGCCTCCCGATGGGGGACGGCTGCTACCTGAGCATCACGCCCTCGAAGACCCAGGGCCTGGGGGACAACCTGGTGATCTGGGCGCGCTCCCAGTCGCGCCGCGTGCGGAATCCCGACTTCCTGCCGTTTGTGCGGGCGCTCCAGGCCGGGCGCTGCAACCGGCGTCCCCTCCTCCTCCTCCTCCTCCTCCGCCTCCTCCTCCTCCTCCTCCTCCCTCCTCCTCCTCCTCCTCCTCCTCCTCCTGCCCTCCCTCTCCCTCCTCCTCCTCCCTCCTCCTCCTCCTCCTCCTCCTCCTCCTCCTCCTCCTCCTTCCTCCTCCTCCTCCTCCCTCTCTCCTCCTCTCCATCCTCCTCCTCCTCCTCCTCCTCCTCCTCCTCGCCCAGGGCGCCCCCCAGGGCTGCTCCACGGTCGCCGCCCTGGGCCTCCCTGGGCGCCCCCCGCGAGGCCCAGAAGGGGGCCCCATGGGGGTCCACAGCCTTGGCATCGCTCGGACGTGTGCATGTTCTCTCGGCGAGGGCCCTCGAGGAGCGTCTCTGATCATCGAGCGAACAAAAAAAAAACACGCCCGACGTCGAACACCTGCCCGGGGAGTGGACGTCCGAGCGGTGGCGAGACTCAGGGGGGTGGGGGGGAAAGCTTCCCTGACCTTCCAGGAGGGCTAAAAAATGACACCCGACTTAAAGGCCTATCCCAGAGCTATTCTACGTCTTGGTTTTAGGCAGTTTCGTGTTGTTGTTTTAAAGTTTTTGGGCCTCCAGTGCCAAAAAATATAGCTCCCTGGAAGGTCAGGGTTGGGGGGGCACCCTGGGGGCCAAAGGGGGCCACTCTGGGCAGCGCTCGCTCCAATCGGGGGAGCGTAAGACCCGGGTTTGCCGGGACTCGGGTTCGCCATCGTTTTTTGACGACCGCGCCTCGGATTTTGACGAGGAGGAGTTTCGTGGGATGTCTGCAGCGGGAGGCCTCGTCAAAATGCAGGCTCGGCCTCGTCATTTTTGTTGACGACCTCGTCGGGGATTTCCGAGTCCCCCGTACCCGGGTCTTACGTCTCCCCGATCCAAAGGGCCTCGGCATGGTCCACCCCTCGGAGCTGTGGCTCTACACCCTGGCGCAGGGCGAGGCCGGGCCCCGCGGGGCGGCCGCGCAGGCCGCGGGCGAGGCCCCCGAGGCGCTCGAGGACGCTCCCGGGTCGGCCTGCGGCCCGCGCAAGGCCATCGGGGCGAAAGGTCGAACGCGACGCCGACGACGACGACGACGACGACGACGACGACGACGACGACGACGACGACGACGACGGCGGCGGCGACGACGAAAACGACGACGACGACGATGGCGGCGACGGCGACGGTGGCAGCGGCGGCGGCGGTAGCGGCACGGCGGGGGCGGGGGCGGCAGCGGCCTGCGGCCCGCGCAAGGCCATCGGGTAGTCGAAGGCCAGCCTGTCAGATTGGATTGGGCCCCAAGGGCCAATCTTGGCCCGGCCAAACCGGATGATTTTTGGGTTCTTCGCCGGACCGGATTATCGCGTTGGCTCCCTCGCCATATCGCCCCCGTGTGCCAGATGGGGTCTGCCAGGTTGGCGCCAGATTGGCTTCGACTGCCCAGACTTAACGGGACGGAGGGAGATGCAAACGGGGGTCAGCCAGGGCACCGGATCCTGCAGGATGCTGCGAAGACCCCCTCTGGCTGACCCGGGTCAGCGAGCCGCTCGTGGCCGCGAGGCGGCCGCACATACTCGAGCAGGCCGACAGATGTTCCGCTTGAGGCCCACATGACAAATGCGATGTGTCGTTGACTGTAGCGGATGCGGACGCAGCGATCATATCGCGCTCGCGTTGAGGTGGGGTGCGGCATATGTTATGGGAGGCTGCGGGAGTTGGCCAGGCCCGCTGTGGCGCTCGAGCGCCCACATGTGATGGAGGCTGCGGGAGTTGGCCGGGGCAGCTGTAGCGCTCGAGCAGCGACATGTTAGAGGAGGGGTTCGGAGAGGTGGCCAGGCCCGCTGTGGCGCTCGAGCTCCTGACTTGGGCACCGCGGTCGTTTTCCCTCCTCCCTCCTCCCTCATCGGCCTCTTCCGGCCTCCCCCCTCGTCCGCCTCCCTCCTCGGTAGGGAAACCCCTCCCCCGTAGAATCATAGCTTCGGCTGCAGGTTCAAGGCTCCGTGGATCCATTTTCCCTTGGGTTCCTTGTGTTAATTATTATTATAACTATCATAAATTTATTCCAGGACAAGAACCCACGAAGCTTCCACACCAAAACATTTGATCCAGAAGACACGGAGTTGGATCCACGTGACTCGCACACGCACGTAATTGGATCCAAATGGATCCATGCGTTCCCATGCAAGAAGAAAAAAACTTTCGGCCTGGGGGATGCAGAGTTTTGCGCCCCTTCTGCCCTTCAGCACGGTGCACGTGTTGGCGGGGGAGACGGGGGTCAAAACCCGACGGAAGAGTTTTGCACCCCTTCTGCCCTTCAGCACGGTGCACGTGTTGGCGGGGGAGACGGGGGTCAACACCCCACTGAAGAGTTTTGCACCCCTTCTGCCCTTCAGCACGCTGCACGTGTTGGCGGGGGAGACACGGGTCAAAACCCCACTGAAGAGTTTTGCACCCCTTTCCGCCCTTCAGCACGGTGCACGTGTTGGCGGGGGAGACGGGGGTCAACACCCCACTGAAGAGTTTTGCACCCCTGCTGCCCTTCAGCACGGTGCACGTGTTGGCGGGGGAGACGGGGGTCAAAACCCCAGAGTTTTGCACCCCTTCTGCCCTTCAGCACGCTGCACGTGTTGGCGGGGAAGAGCTTTGAACCCCTTCTGCCCCTCAGCATGGTGCACGTGTTGGCGGGGGAGACGGGGGTCAAAACCCGGCTGAAGAGTTTTGCACCCCTTCTGCCCTTCAGCACGGTGCACGTGTTGGCGGGGGAGACGGGGGTCAAAACCCAACTGAAGAGTTTTGCGCCCCTTCTGCCCTTCAGCACGCTACACACGTGTTGGCGGGGGAGACGGGGGTCAAAACCCAAGAGTTTTGCAGCACCTTCTGCCCTTCAGCACGGTGCACGTGTTGGCGGGGGAGACGGGGGTCAAAACCCAACTGGAGAGTTTTGCACCCCTTCTGCCCTTCAGCACGCTGCACGTGCTGGCGGGGGAGACGAAGGTCAAAACCCCACTGAAGAGTTTTGCACCCCTTCTGCCCTTCAGCACGGTGCATGTGTTGGCGGGGGAGACGGGGGTCAAAACCCCATTTGAGGAGGCCGAGAGATTTTCCTCTCCAGGCCCACATGACAAATGCGAAGTTTCATTGGCTGTCGCGGATGCGGACGCAGCGATCATATCGCGCTCGCGTTGAGGTGGGGTGCGGCATATGTTATGGGAGGCTGCGGGAGTTGGCCAGTCCCGCTGTGGCGCTCGAGCACCCACATGTGATGGAGGCTGCGGGAGTTGGCCGGGGCAGCTGTGGCGCTCGAGCAGCGACATGTTAGGGGAGGGGTTCGGAGAGGTGGCCAGGCCCGCTGTGGCGCTCGAGCTCCCGACTTGGGCACCGCGGTCGTTTTCCTTCCTCCTCCCTCCTCCCTCATCGGCCTCTTCCGGCCTCCCTCCTCGTCCCCCTCCTCCTCGGTAAGTAAACCCCTCCCCCGTAGAATCATAGCTTGGGCTGCAGGTCCAAGGCTCCGTGGATCCATTTCCCCTTGGGCCCCTCGTATTAATTATTAGTATCATTATTGTGAGTATCAATACTAATATTTTTTTTATTATTATCATTATTATTATTAGTATTATTATTGGTATTATTATTATTATTATTATTTTATTAATATTATTCGTATTAATAGTATTAGTATTATTATTATTAATATTATTAGTATTATATATTTGCTCCATGAAAAGAATTGGATCCACGAAGCTTCCACGCCGGAAAATTGGATCCAGAAGACACGGAAGTTGGATCCACGTGATTCTCGCACACAAGTAACTGGATCCAAATGGATCCATGCGTTCCCATGCAAGAGGAAAAAGTTTCGGCCTGGGGATGTATTGGCGGGTTTGCGAAGACCTGCGTTGCAGTTTTTTTCCTGCATTGCAGTTTTTGGTCTCCTGCTGGCCCGGGTCTGGATTGACCCGGGTCAGAAGATCCCCGAGGCCAGCGCCATCGCCTCCGCCATTCTGAGCTACGGCCTCGCGCACGCTATCGTCCTGGACCGCTTCAGCGTGTGATCGCCGAGCTGGCCAGGCCAGCAAGCCGGCCGCCCGTGGGCCTCCGTGTGGATCTTCCCAGACGGGCTTGCAAACCTTTGCGTGCTTGCTCGTTCGCTGGCGTCGAGATGCCTGCCCCCCCCCACACACACCCACACACACACGCACACACACACACACGCGCACACACACGCGCGCGCACAGACAGTTTACCGCAATCGTCAGAGTAGCCACGCTGTCCCTTCAAAGAGCCGCGCTCCCTACCATGGCTGTCTCGCTGCTGTGGTGGAAGCGGACCGCGATCATTATCCCTGACTGGTTTAAATAGCTGAGCTGCCAGGGTGGTGCATTTTCTTGAACGGGAATTTGTCAGGACTTGATTCCTCTCGCTTCGCGGGGTGCACGTTCGCAGCGCGGAAAGTTGACGCGCTGCGTGCACATTTGAGGCCAAGGCTACTGGGGCAGGAGGAGGGAGGATGACAACGAGGACGAGGATACAGCTATCAAAATCACCTCTTGGAGCCCTCTTGGGGCACTCTTGGGTGATCTTGGGATCCTCTTCGGGCTCTTTTTGGGGGTCTTTGGGCCCTCTTGTTGACCTCTTGGGGCTCTCTCTTGTGGGGGCCTCTTGTGGGCCCTGGAGGGCCTCTTGGGGCTATCGTTGAGGGTGTCGGTGAAAAGATAGGGGTCCTAACGTGTGGCCCCCCCTCTGGGGCCCCGTGGGGCCCTCTTGGGGCGCTCTTGTGGCGATCTTCAGCGCTGTGGGGGCCGTCTTGGGGGCGGGCTCTCTTGGGCCATCTTGGGGCCATCTTCAGGCCTCGAGAGCGCATCGGAAGCGAAAGGGCGAGAAGTTCGAGAGCACTGGGAGCCGTCTTGCGGCCCTCGTCGGAAGCTATCTTGAGCCATCTGCGGCTACATTTTGGGGAACGAACAATGACATAAACATAACAACTCGTAGGTCCGCGCGGATTTTTCGGATCCGCGCTGGACCCCCCTGGCGGCGCCTCCGGCGCCGCCCCTGGCGCGCTCCGCACGCCAGGCCAGGGAGGGGGATCCAGCGCGGGCGGATCCGAGAAATCCGCGCGGACCTCCGAGTTTTTATGTTTACGTCATGCTCGTTCTCCTAAACTTGAGCCATCTGCAGCTATTCTGGGCTGTCCTGGAGGCCATCTTGGAGCAGCGGGATCCCTCTTGGAGCCATCTTGGGCGAACGAGGACCCCCTGGCACATCGTGGCCCGCCCCAAAAGAACCTTTGGGGCTCGCCTCGAAGTTCTGGTCCAGACGCACACCGGGAGAGAGCCAGGGCGTATCTGTATCGGTATCTTCAGGAGGGAAAACACATTCGGACACAGTTGGTCGTCGATCCCCCGGAACATATGGGAAATTGTGGGAAGTATGGGGGGGGGGAGGACGGGCATCCAGCAGATATGGAAGAAGGTGCGGAGTCTTGGGATCTGCGTTTGTTCATTTGTGTGCCCTTGGGCCCCTTCAATCTTCGATCTGGTTTTCCGCGTAGGAGGAGGCAGGCTCGCTCCTCCTCCGACGGAGGAGGGAGGGAGAGAGGGACGGAGGGAAGGAGGAAGGGAGGGAGGGGACCTATCTCGGTAGCGTGCCGATGCTGACGCTGCGCGCGCTGCTCCGCTGCAGGGGTGGCTCTCCCCTGGCCAGGCCTGCAGCCCAGATGCTCCTGATGCAAGCCCTTGGCCTTGCGTCTAGGCCTCCCAGATGGGGTCCGAGTAGACGGGGTCGAAGGACCATTCCGCATCGCCAACGATGCGGCTCGATGTGGAGCCAGCATTCTCCCACGCCAGCGGCGCTGATGCGTCGCAAACACCGCCGATGCATCGCCGATGTATTGGTGATGCATTGGCGATGTGGCGCGATCCTCCGACCCCATCTGGGAGGCCTCTGTTGCAGAGGTGCCTCGCGCGGAGTGGCACTCGTCCACCCGCGCTGGCAGCAGGGGCTTCTAAAATCTTTCTTCGTGTGCGGATGCGTGAGTGCAGGCCTTTTGAGAGCCGGCGCAGCGCCCGGGCTGGAGCACGTCCACCATGTGCTGGCAGCCGGTGCTTTCTTATCGTCGTGTTACAAGCAGTGGCGGAGCGTCCCGGCTCGCGTATGGCCCCGCCAAAGAATTCTCTAAGAACCTTTTGTGGTTCCCACGAAATGTTCTTAGGACATTTCTTGCTGGGACTGTTTCATTCTAGCACATCGGGCTAATGTTCTAAGAACATTGTTTTTGTTCTTAGAACATTCTGAGGTTCTAAGAGCATTTCGTGGTATGACTATAGGAATGCCGGGACGGTCGGTCCCTGTTCAAATGCTCATGCCAATCTTGAGTGCAGGGGTGCTGCGCGCGGAATGGAACACGTCCACCCGAGCTGGCAGCCGGTCCTTCTTGGCAGTTCCACGCTCTGAGCCCACGTTTCTTGTGACGGTACGTGGGTGCAGGCTCTTGAGAGCAGGCGCAGGCGCCGCGCACGGAGTGGAGCACGTCCACCCATGCTGGCGGCCGGGGCCGCGTCGGAGTGTTCAGACCCGGAGCATTCCGCGCTGCTCATTGGTAGTGTGCCCTCCTCCGTTCGAGCCATCTCACGGCGTACGATCCCCAAGCTGGGGAGACTCCCGATGGTTGGCGTGCCCTGTTTTTGGTTCTCGAAGACGCCTATACGGCGAATCACCGCCGCCTCTGCCTTTTTGGGCGCGCCGGTGCAGCCGAACGTTGGGCTAGAGCTATCGGAGCACGTGTTCCCCCAGCTGTTTTTGAGACCTTTCGGGGAACACGTGAGGAAGAGGAGATTCAGGAGAAGGAGGAGGAGGAGGAGGAGGGAGGAGCGGGAGAAGAAGGAGGAGGACGCCTCTGGGAAGCTTCTTGAGGCACTCGTGGGGTCTCCTGGGAGCTTCCCCGGGGCCTCTCGGAGGCCTCTTGAGGGCCTCTTCTCTCTGGAGGCTTTGGGGGCCTGTTCGTGGAGCTTTGGCCGCCTTCGGGCGTTCCTGGCCCGTCTAGCGCCGTCGGAAGCAGCCGTGAGTGCCTCTCTGCACCGACTCGGGGCCCTTTGGTGGCGCCTGCCGCCTCGCGGAGGCCAGTTTTTTGGGTGTGTGCCTTGGGACCTCCTGAGGGCCGTCTGGGGGCCCTCTCGGGGGCTGCCTTGGGGGCGTCTTGGGCCGCTCTGGGGCCATCTTGGAGGCCTCTGGGGCGCTCTGGGGAGGAGGAGGAGGAGGAGGAGGAGTAGGAGGAGGAGGAGGAGGAGGAGGAGGAGGAGGAAGAGGAGGAGGAGGAGGAGGAGGAGCTCTTGGGCCGTCTCGGGCCATCGGAAGACCCAGAAGACACCGGCAGAATCAGTGATTTGGGTCTCTTGGGGCTTTCCTGGAGGACTTCTTGGACACCTTTTGGGGCGTCTGGGAGGCCTCTTGAAGGCCTCTTTGGCCGTCTGGGGCCGTCTTGGAGGCGTCTTGTGTTCCCCACCCCTTCTGGGCGTAGCGGGTGCGCCAGACCGCCTCTCACCCCCTGGGAGTGAGCGGGACAGGCGCTCCCGGACCGGACGGCGCCACGCTGGCCTGTGCCATGCTGTCTTGCTGACTTGGGCGAGCTTGGAGGCATATTGGACTCTCTTGGGCCGTCTTGGTGGCAATATTGGACCATCTTGGGCGAACTTGGAGGCCATCTTGGCTATCTTGGAGGCTATCTTGGAGCCATTGGGAGCAGGAAAACCCTTTTGCAACCGGGTCTTCTGGGTGACCGGCGCGCTCTGCCGAAGGGGGAGTTCTAAAAGAACTACAATCTTGTCAGAACGTCCAGCACGCTGGGCACCCCTGCGACAAGCCGACAGGGGGCGGCGGATGACGGACAGCGCGCGTAGCGTCGGGATCGGCTAGGCGGGAGAAATAACAAGGGGGGGTGGGGGGGTTGGGCACCCCGCCACCCAGATGACGGTTAGCGTGCTCGCGCCATCCGTTAGCCGGGAGAAAAATCAAGGGGTGGGTGGGGGGTAGGCAAAACGGGGCGCAGATCTAACGACCCAAATTTCGCCATTTTCGGCCCAAGACGGCCCAAGTTAGGCCGGAGAGCGCCTCAGAGACGGCCCAAGACAACCCCAAGAGCGCCCAAGTTACCTCCAAGACGGCATCGGAGAGGTCCAAGAGGACCCGAAGACTGCTAATGAGCGCTCAAAGAGGGCCCAACATGGCTTCAAGACGGCTCAAGAGGCCCCCAAGACGCCGCAGGAGGTCCCCAAGGGGACCCCAAAGAGGCAAACATGGTCCCATTCCCTTCGGAAAACAAGCATTTTTAGCATATTAGCCCGTTTGGTCTTCACAGTGTCCAAGACGGCCCAAGAGGCTCCCAAGACCGCCCCAGGACGGCCTCAGAGGCCCCAATTAGCGCTCCAAGACAGCCCAAAAGAGCTCCAAGACGGCCGAAGAGAGCTCCAAGACGGGCCCCAGAGGGCCCGAAAGATTTCCAAGAAAGCCCCAAGAGGGCCACAGGAGGCTGGAGGTCCCCAAGAGCGCCCCCACAGAGCCCCAAGACGGCCTCAGCCCGCCAAGAGAGGGTCCAGGGACGGCCCGGGAGAGCCCCAAGACGGCCCACACGAGCTCCAACAGGACACCCAGGAAGGCCCGGAAATGCAATATTCATTTATTTTCGCAAGGCTTTTTGTTAGATTTCTTGTATGTGTTAGATTTCTTGTATGTCGTACCAAAGCCTCCACACCAGCAGGGCTCCACGACACTAGCCAGCGACATCGCGCCCTTTCAGAAAGAAACCGCACTTTCCGTCCATATGCCAAGCAGGTAACGTAAAGAGCGAGGCACGAGTGAGGACGTTCCTGTGTGGGGCGAAGCTCCTTAGGAAGGGGTCCAGGAGAGTGGCGAGGCGGGGGGCGACGGTTGTAATGGCCGACCAGGGGCTGCTTCCCTGGTATTTCTTCAAGTGAAGCGGCTCCCGGGCGGCTCCCAGTGTCTTCGTATTTTCTCAAGGGAAACGGCCAGGGGGGCCCGAAACGGCCCACAGACGGCCCCGAGAGAGCCTCAGATGGCCTCCAGACGGTCCAAGAGAGCTCCGAGACGGCTCCAGAGACCGTCAAGAGGGCACCCGAGAGGACCTCAGGAAGCCAACAACATTGATTTCTCTACGGTTTTTGCAGGTTTTGGGGGTTCTCCCCTTTGGGGGTCCAGAAGGGCCCCAGACGGCCCGCGAGGTCCCAAAGCTCGTCCCCAGACTGCCCCAGAGGCATCCCAAAAGACCCGAAAACATTCCAAACAGGCCCCCAGACGGCCCAACAGGGCCCCAAGACAGCCCCAAGAGACTCCCAACAGACTCCCAAGGGGGCTCGAAGAGGCGGTGTGGGGATTGGGCTGCTTGGGGGTGGGGACTGGGCTGGCCCCAAGACGGCCCAAGAGTCTCAAAACGGCCCTCGAGAGGGCACCCGAGAGGGCCTCAGGATACCAAACACATTGTTTCCTCTACGGTTTTCCCAGGTTGTTGGGGTTCTCGCTTTTTCTGGCCCAGAAGGGCCCCAGGCGGCCCAAGAGGTCCCACAGATCGTCCGAAGAGGGCCCCAGAGACCCCCAAAGGGCTCGAAAACTGTCCAAGAGAACCCCCAGACGGCCCAAGGGCTCCAAGACGGCCCAAGAGGGCCCCAAGACGGCCCCACGAGAGCACCAATGTGGCCCCAAGAGGCTCCCGGGAGGGCCCGCAGAGGCGGTGTGGGGACTCGGCTGCTTTGGTGTTGGGACTGGGCTAGCCCCAAGACGGCCCAAGAGTCCCAAAACAGCCATCGACAGGGCCCTCAAAGACCCCCGAGAAGCCGGTCTGCCCCCGCCAAGACAGTGCAGGGCGAGAGGGACGGGTGGCCTTCTCTTGAGGCGCCGCGGCCCCCCAAGAGATCCGGAGCGGAGCGCCCCGTGCCTCCCGGGAGTCAGGGGGGGGCCCGCTGGGAAGGCTGCCCTGCCGACCTGCCTTCGTTTGGCGCGCTGTCGGGAGAGGCGGACTTGGCGGGGATCGCTGGTCATGGAATTCGATTGCGTCTCGATCGAGCCGCAGGCGAGAGCTGAATTCTGAAAACGAGCCGGGCTCCATCGATGCAGCTGTTTGAAGCTCATAACACGAGTGCGCCAACGCTAAGCCGAGAACTGCAGTTAGAAAATCACCGGCCCTCCATCCTCGTAGCGGCTGGAATTTGTGCAGCTGTAAGGTCCCAAGTCAGGGAGTGTCAAGCGAGACGCCCCGCCCGGTCTACGGACGCTTCTGGTGGTGCGACAGGCGGGGGGAGTTGCTGAAAGAAAGAAGTCGACCAACAAAACAAACGACAACACCCCACCTACGACCCTCCATGTTGCGCTACGGCCCATCGGTCGCCGTCGTATACCACGCACAAACAGACGCCAGATCACCTGGTATAAGCTGAGCCCCGTGAGGCCTTAAGTGGGGTGGTGTCTTTTGTTTTCTGGTCCACAGAGCGCATCCCGAGATGCTAACGAACATCGGAGACACTCGATGAAACGAGAGCGACGCTTACCGATCTCCGACACGCATCGGGGGCGGTCGAGCGAAGGTGAGCAGGACAGGCCTGAACGGGCTTCTTACGGGCCGCTACAGTGTGCGGGCACAAGGTTCCCCGCGCGCCGCGGCTTAGCTTGCGGCGGGAGAATCCTCAGCGTCGGCACTCGGCGAAGACCCAGCTTGCACCTCGTGAGCCGGTCGTTTGGTTCACTGCAGCCTACGAGGCAGCTGCCGCTGCAAGCCTTGTCCAGTGTGTGAACCTTTCCCGCTCCCTTCCTGGCCCTTTCCCTTGGCATCGCTCGGACGTGTGATTTTTTCGGCGGGGATAATTGAGGAGCATCCTGGATCATGCTGCGAAGGAAAGCACTCACGAAACCGAACAGATGCACCGGGGACGAACGTCCGAGCGATGGCGAGTTCCGAGTCAACTCTTTTGTGGTTGATTCCTCATGTCTTTGCAGCTCTGGTGACACGAGCAAGCCAGACGTTGCCAAGCAGGATTTCGCGGGGTCCGCGCGGGACATCTATCGGCGTACCGAAAATTTGATACGCGCGGGGAGCTCGTGAGTGAAAGGAGCGGGTGCCCACGCCCTCTGTGCCACCGTGTTTTGCGCCGCTTCCGTGATCATGGCAACTTGTCGAAGGGAGTTGTTCGACTGGTTGGTGGGGAGACGGCACGTCGGCGCAATGGTGCACAACCTGGCGCGGATAGCAGCTCGCATCGTTTTGGTATTTGGCGTTCGTTTCCCCCCCTTCCCCGATTTGGGTGTTGGGTCCGGTCTGGGCGAGCCGGAATAGCTCGGTCAAGGCTCCTCGCCACGCGCCCAATGTTTAGATCGGGGGAAAGGGGGCAAGAGCACTGCAGTATAGGTAGGTGCCAATGCACGGCAAGAATGGTGCGACATTTTGTCGATGTACGCCTCGCGAGGCGTCGAGAATCAGCCTTCCGACACCTGCCAATATTAAGTCGACAGGCTCCGTCCTTCCTGTTTGGGTCGCGGCGCATACTTCCTCCCCCATTCTGTTCTAGTGGGTGTAGGATCCCCTTGGAGGCGCCAGGAATCAGCAGGGAGCGTTGCCTGGTGACCCGGGGGGGGGGACGGCCGCGGTAAGAGCTTTGCGTTCGGGGCGGGGGGGGGGGGAGACCCGAAGACGGTCGAGACGGCCGCGTAGGAGTAGGCGCAGCTGCCCCTGCGCGCTGCCCCGAGGATCCCAAGAGCGTACCAAGAGAGCCCCGGGGTGTCTGGAGAAGGCTCCATGGCGCCCCTAGGAGAGCCCACGAAAGCCTGAGGTGACCGAGAGAGGCTGCAAGAGAGTCCAAGTGAGGACCCCGCGAAGGCCTACATGGCACCAGAACGGCCCCAAGGAGGACAGTCAGGGCTGATATAAGCCTTCTTAAACGATCCTGTGCTGCGCACCGAGTGGAACATGCCCACCGCGCCAGCAACTTTTTTTGGCCGCGTGGAAAGCGTTCACCGCGCCCCGCCAAAGGGGGGGCGGAAATGAGAGGTAATGGGAGGGCTTGCTGAGGGGAGGATAGGGGTTGAGGGAGATTCGGGTTCATCGCATGTTCAGAACGATTAGGGTTCATCGCATGGCATCCATGGGGACAGGGGGGCACCTTCAGTTCATTGATCGAAGGCGTTCTGCACCGCGATGCTGCAAACCCTAGACAGTAGCCACACGTCGCTAGAACCAAAGCGCGGGCAGCGCGCTCGTGGTTCTAGTAACAGCGTAACAAAGTGTCGGAATCCCGCATCCAAGGGGAGGGGTACTGTAAGGATGGATGAAGTGGCCAGCCTGAGCTGAAGGGCATTCATGGGATCATGTCTCCCGCTTTGTTGGGCACCTTGCCGCCGCGCTGTTTTCTCTCATCATTTTCAGAAGTAGTTTCAAGTCGTGGTGTGATCCTAACGATGCCCTCGCGTCTTCCGAGGCGCGTGCGATGATTTGGTATCTCCCCTCAGGCGAGGTGGTGCTGAACGAGGAGACTGTCTTCAAGCCGCCTCTGCCGGAGGGGACTGGGGTTGCGGGTTGAAATTCTTCCCAGGATCTCAAGCATCGTGCACGAAGAGGGCTTATATTTTGAACCTGGCGATGCCCATTGCAGGCTCATTTAAAAGTGATGGCGGAAACGAGCAAGGCCAAGCAGAAAAGGCCTCGTTGGCTGACGGCCCTTCTCCTTGCACCTGCTCTGGGGCTTGTTCTGCTCAGCTACCTGCCCCCCCCCGCCCAGGCATCCTCCGATGTGTTCTTGTTCAATCAGCGGCCCCAGGCCTTCCGACCCCTTCCCGGGCGGCAGTTTTTCATGCTGGAGCGATTTTTCATGGTCCCGCATTGACTTCGGATCTGGCGTACGTTGGGCCAGTATTGAGACTTCACATTGGATCGGAGGTGCTCCCCGCACGATGCGAACCTGGAGGGCGGACATGCCCCCCTCAGAAAGCAGGGCGGATATATAGTTCCGCAGACGTGCGGCGGAGGCAACGACGACGAGGTATCGCTGAGCTCGATCTAAGAGGAGCTCGACACGAGGAGAGCCAGGATCTCCGCCCTGCTCACGACACCGTCGAGGGCCCGGCGGATGCGACGGCACAGCGGGCTCCGACGAGCGGGCCCCAGAGGTGGAAGCAACGACGACAAAGTATCGTTGAGCTCGATCTAAGAGGAGCTCGACACAAGGAGAGCCAGGATCTCCGCCCTGCTCACGGCACCGCCGAGGGCCTGGCGGACGCGGCGGCACAGCGGGCTCCGGCGAGGGGGCCCCGGAGGTGGACGCCGAGGAGGGCGCCCGGATTGGAGAGCGGCCACGTCGTCGGCGATCCGCGGCGCTCGCCGCCGCGACCACGGCTGGGCGCGGCCCGGGGGAGAAGCGCCGGGGCGGTGCCCTCCGGAGGAGCCTCCTCCTCCTCCTCCTCGCCCTTCCCTCCACCTCCTCCTCCTCCTCCTCCTCCTCCTCCTTCTCCTCCTCCTCCTCCTCCTCCTCCTCCTCCTCCTCCTCCTCCCTCTCCTCCTCCTCCTCCTCCTCCTCCTCCTCCTCCTCCTCCTCCTCCTCCCCTCCCCCTCCCCTTCCCTCCTCCTCCTCCTCCTCCTCCTCCTCCTCCTCCTCCTCCTCCCTGCCAGGGAGCTGCTCGCCCTGCGGGTGCCCACAAAGCACCCGCCCCTCCCGCGAGCCCCCAGCCCAGCTCCTCGCACAGAGCAGAAGCGAGACCCCCCAAAGCGAAGCACCGCTTGGAAGATGAGCCCCTCCCCGACGGGCTAGGTTCGAAGAACAAGAAACGCCATGAGCAGAAAGCTGTTGGCGCTCCGCGCGGAGTTCTTGGATCCGCGCTGGGCCGCCCCGGCGGCGCCTCCAGCGCCGCCCCCGGGCGCGCTCCGCGCGCCAGGGAGGGGGGTCCAGCGCAGATCCAAGAAATCCTCGCGGAGCGCCAAAAGTTTATGTTTATGCTGGTTTCTTATTCTTTTTCTTCTTCTTCTTCTTCTTCTTCTTCTCCTTCTAAAGATGGGGGTTGGAAAAGGAACTCCCCAAACCGCGCACGCCCGAAAGGGCCGGTGGGATTACTCCAAGAGGGCCGCTCGGCTCCGAGTGCCCCCGCCCCCGTGCTCGAGAGCGACGCCCCTGGCGGCTATACCCCCGGGGGAACGGGGTGAGCCTCGAGGTGGCCACTCACTGGCCCTGGCCAGCAGGAACACCTGGCATCGCTCGGACGTGTGCGTTTTTTCCTTGGCGAGGACCATCGGGGAGCATCCTTGATCATTTGGCGAAAAAACCACGCACGAAACCGCACAACAACACAGGAAATGAACGTCCGAGCGATGGCCAGAACAGGGGGCGAGTCAGCGGCACCGTAACGGGTGCTCACTAATGGGCATTCTCTGGAGATCTGCAGAGAGGTGCCGCTGCAGGGCCGCTTTCTGGCAGTGCAGCGTTGTCCACACCGGGCAGGCCCGAGCTCGCCGGGCCACTGGCCAGAGCACCCGTCCGCGGAGTCCCCGTCGGAGCTGCGCGGAGCAGGGCCGCGGCGAGGAGAGGGCCACACGTGGAGGGGTGGGGAGAGGCGGGCGGCCGCGGAGGGGGACTCCAGATCGGAGGTTGGGGGGTGAGTCCGTCGTGAAACGGAGACCCCCCCCTACCGGGACATCGATTTCGGCTTCGGGTTCGTGTCGTGCGTGCCGTGCGTGCCGTGCGTGCGCGCGGGCGCGCGGGCGGGCGAGGCGAAGCTGCGTGGGCGGGCGAGAGGGAGCTCGCCTGTGGCTGGGCCGCGGCCGGACCGAAAGTCCCTCCACCGGCAAACGGTGTCCCGCGGTGTCCCGCTGGTGTCCCGCTGGTGTCCCGAAACCCTCCTGTGGCCGGGCCGCGGCCGGACCAAAAGTCCCTCCACTGGCAAACGGTGTCCCGCGGTGTCCCGCTGGTGTCCCGCTGGTGTCCCGAAACCCTCCTGTGGCCGGGCCGCGGCCGGACCGAAAGTCCCTTCCCCGGCAAACGGTGGCCCGCGGTGTCCCGCTGGTGTCCCGCTGGTGTCCCGAAACCCTCCTGTGGCCGGGCCGCGGCCGGACCAAAAGTCTCTCCACTGGCAAACGGTGGCCCGCGGTGTCCCGCTGGTGTCCCGCTGGTGTCCCGAAATCCTTCTGTGGCCGGGCCGCGGCCGGATCAAAAGTCTCTCCACCCGGCAAACGGTGCCCCGCGGTGTCCCGCTAGTGTCTCGGGGGTGGACTGGCCTCCTACCCTGACACGTCGATTAGCGAATTGGCCGTTTTCGGTTCGCGAGAGGGCGTCGCGGCCGTCATTTTTGCGGGTCCAGGTCCGTCGGTTTCGGTCCCAGGCCGTTTTCACTAAAGGGTGGTTTGCTAAAGGGAGGTTTGTCCACCGCCGAGTGTCCCGCTGGTGTCCCGCCGAGGCTGCGGCGAGCTATCCAACGCAAGTCGACATGCAAACCGACATGCAAACCGACCCGCAGGCGCCGCTGACACCAAGCTTTGCTAGTGCCTCGAGCGCAAGACCTGCAAGCAAGGCAGCATCGGGTGGCGCCAGCAGCAGTCAGGGTGGCACCGCAGCGCGCACGTTCGACACGTCGACTAGCGCTGAGGTGAGGTTCGCGCGATTGATAAGCGCACGCGGGGGCAGCGCTTCACGACAATGTCGAGTGCGCTTCGTCAACATCGCCACACCACATTACGCTCACGATCGCACTCGCACTAGTCACTATACGGCGCACCGCAGGAACCGTCAGAACAACACTCACCACTGTTGCCGATTTCTGCCCCCCCAAACCCCCTCATCACCCGCAGGGTGGTCGTATATGTAAAAAGGTAACCATACCGCTACCCTTCGCCTCGTTTAGCATAACTCGTTGGCCTCCTGGGAGGCCCTCGTCGCCACCGCTGGGTTCGCCTCATCACCCGCAGGGTGGTCGTATAGGTAAAAGGTAACCATGCCGCTACCCCTTCGCCTCGTTTAGCCCTTTTTCGTTGGCCTCCTGGGAGGCCCCCGTCGCCACCGTTGGATCTCGCCTCGACATCGTAGTCGGAACGCTCCCTGGGCGAGGTCCGGGGAGCAGCGGTACGGGTACTTCTCGGTTTCCCCAGGGCGGCCGCGGCGGGGGATGGTGGGGGGCGAATCCTCCTCCTCCTTCTTCTCCTCCTCCTCCTCCTCCTCCCTCCTCCTCCTCCTCCTCCTCCTGGTTCATGGTTCATCCACGGGCGGCCGCCTGCAGCTGCAGGCGGACGCCGCTAGGTCTCAGAACGACGCGGCACCTCATAACACCGCGCGGATGAAAACCAAACCCTCGCCGATGTGCCCGCTCCCTGTATAGGGCCACGCGGGCAATGCACGAAGTCCAGTATCGATACCTGACAGAGCTCAAAGCCTCCAGTACCGCGAAACGAAACCCTCGTTGATGCGCCCGCTCCCTGTATAGGGCCACGCGGGCGATTCACAGGGCCCAGTACTAGAAAAAACAGCACGCCTCCAGTACAACAACAGTAGATGTGATCAGACATCGCATCCACAACCTGAACTCCCAAGCCAACCACAAGATCAGCAAAGGAATCCAGCAAGATACGAACCTGGCGCACCAGTATTCCAGGATGCGCGCACGGCACGAACATCCGCTGGTCAAAGCAGACGAGGTCCTCACCTTCGCCCGCGACAAAAATAGTCACAGCCTCATCTGGGCCATCACCGACGTGTGGAACTCGATGGAACGCGCTTTGGCAAATCGACAAATCCACTTGATCTGGTTCTTCCTGACCGCGGGATCTTTAGACGCACCAGGGCAAACTTCTTTGAGCTTAAGCACCTTCTTTGTGACGTCAGTAGACGAGCCTGCACAGCGAACACAAACACATGCCAGACCATCCCATTGCAATGTGTGGCCTTGGTCTGCAAAAAAGGTGTGCGCCGCCATTTGAGGAACCTCTGACGAATCCACCACAACCTGCTCTGAAATGTCCTTACCAAGTAGGGCATCAGCTAGCTGCACAGCTTCATTCACTGCCTCGCTGCGCACAGGCTGGTAAGTAAGGCCCTTGGGAGTGCCGAAAAAGATGTCACACTGCAATCTTTGATGTTCCGATGCGCTACAGTGCTTACGAATACCCCAGCCCAAGTTGTTTAGGTGAGTCGAAGTAGCAGCACGCACCCCACACTGCCTGCACCGAAATTCTGCGTAGACATCAGATCTCCAAAAAATATGCTCCAGTACCGTGATTCGTGGCTGAAAGCATGGAACTCGTACCTGGCGACCTTGAGAATCCCAGAGCTGCTGCTGGAACAACCTGCATAGCGTGAACCCCAGATACCTGGACATCAACTTAGCTTGAGCCAGCGCTATTTTGAACAAGTCGCAGTAACCTTCTGCAGATCCGATGTCCTTCGCGCCCTGCTTCGCAAAATGATCAGCCCAGGCGTTTCCCACGACCCAGTCGAAGTTAGCTTCACGCTTAGCAACTCCAGCCGCCACCTCATCCAGGTCAAGATGAGAGGGACACCAGCCAAAAGTAGGAGGCATAACT